TTATTAAATGTGAGAATTGAGTTTTTTTGCTGAGAATTGTGCTTCTTTGTTTGTTGTTCTGTTATTCAGTCATTTGTCAGAGTGTGAAATATTCATCAACAATTAAAGGAGTGGATTTCACTTCCTGTAATATTACCTGGCAAGGAGCAGAACACATGGCGAACATCATAAAGGTACAAAGGAGCATTTATTAATATGACTCATTCCTGAAAACTAACAGTAATTGAACTGATTTTTTTATATAAACATCTTTATTAGAATTATGCATAACAATATGTAAAATGCAAGAGTACAAAGAGTTTCAGAACATTCATTTTAACTATAAGCAAAAAAAAAAAAGAGTGAGAAGAGAAAAATACAGCTACAATGGTTGATGCTAATGTTAATGGTGCTATATGTAAGTTTTTGACTCTTCTAAAGCATAAAAATACTTTAATATGTTTGCAGATATTAAAGAAACATGCTAGGCAAACATACTTGTGTGTCTGAAAAACAATGCTGAAGTAAGATATTCTGCTTTGAACATGTGCGTTACGTGCCTGCGGCCTCGTGCCAATGCACGCCTCCCACCAGTGCTGATATACAGCCATATCGCACTGCTACTCATGTGATATTGCTCATACATAGCTAAAAATATATATATTTTCCATTTTCCCAAGTGTTTATAACTACTGTAAGAAATTATCAGAATTCAGTACATACTTTCAGTATTGTCTTTGCTCGAACTGACCCGATTTAATCCTGCTTATATGAAATGAACCTGCTCCCAAGTAAGCCTGAGCTACCAGAACTGTCGCTATAACAGCAAGTCTCAGATGAGTTTTCAAAAACGAAACGAGCCTGGATTGTGTCAAAGCGTCAATATCCAAATCCAGCTAGTTAAGTAATCCAAGTACGAAGAACGGACCCCCGGACTCCATTCTAACATTTGACTTTTCCAGTTTATTTCATAAATGTAAAATTAAATATTAGTGCTGAGCAAAGATTAATCACGGTTAATCCTTTAGGCTTTATTTCTACTTGTGCTGTTTTTGGTGACTGTTGCTTTAAATTTAAATTGCGCTTTTAGAAATAAGGGCGGAGCTACAACTGCCTATGTGTCAGCATAGTGGCAGATTCAAAAACAAGAATAACGTCCTATGCTAATGAGGGAGAGATGGTCACTGGTGGGCGGGGCTTTCCCCTCTGATGACACGTACAAAGGGAGAATGTTAATTAAAGTGCTTCTGCAGACTGTTTATATCAAGTCTGATTATAAAAAGTAAAATTAATCTATGTCTGCCCTTAGAAGCTGGTTATATTCATACACTGTTGCCACACGACTGTGTTTTTAAACCCCCTTATAAAAGTGATTTTTACCCTTTAAGACCTCATGTTTCTCATATGATGTTTAGCACCAGGCGATGCGGCGTCACAGTACAGCTTGGGTGGAGACTCTGCGCTACAGGAGGGCGGAGTTTGAAGCCATGAACGGACTGCGCAGAATCACTCTTAATGACAACATTCTCATTGGAGACCGAGGGGTTTCGGCTCTTGCTCGGGAACTCACAGAAGACCTGTGGGTCAAAGGTTGGAGAAGCCTCTCAAACCCCCACACACATATATTTAAGTGGCTCATATACGCGCACATACAGTTGAAGTCAAAATCATTCGCCCTCCTGTGAATGTTCTTATCTTTTTCAAATATTTCCAAAACGATGTTGAACAGATTCAGGATTTTTTTACAGTATTTCCTATAATATTTATTCTTCTGGAGAAAGTCTGATTTGCTTTAATTCAGCTAGAATATAATTTTTTAAAATCCATTTTAAGGTCAATATTATTAGCCTCCTTAAGCAATATTAGTTTTGGATTGTCTACAGAACAAACCACTGTTATACAATGACTTGCCTAATTACCTTAACTTTAACCTAGTTAAGCCTTTAATTGTCACTTTAAGCTGAATACTAGTGTCTTGAAGAATATCTAGTCTCATATTAAGTGCTGTCATCATGGCAAAGAGAAAATAAATCAGTTATTAGAAATGAGTTATTAAAACTATTGTTTAAAAAATGTGTAGAAAAAAAACTTCTTTCTGTTAAACAAAAATTGGGGGGGAAATATACAGGAGGGCTAATAATTGAGGAAGGCTAATAATTTTGTTTTTCATTGTTTTGTTTCCTATAGCAGTAGACCTGCAGCGCTGTGGAATTTCTAATGACGGAGCTCAAGTTCTAGAGCAGATGCTGCAGTCCAATTCAACTCTATGTGTGCTTGACATCAGGAGAAACCCACTGATTGGTAATTCCTAGATGTTATTTTGGTCACTTATTACTTATGTTTTGTAGTATTTAAAGTAGTTTTTGAAGTATGCCACTTATGTTGACTAATGTAGCTAATATTTCATTGAAATACAGTAAAATTATTGTAAAGTTATTGCAGTTTAAAAGAACTCTATATTAAAATATTCTATTTTGATATTTCTTTTAAATGTAGTTTCTTCTGTCATGTTTAATGTTTATATCCTGTGAAGTTTATTTTTTAGGATGATTGGTTACGTGATCTATCAGAAATTATGTTAATATACAGATTTTCAACTTTTTTTTGCAGATGTTTATCATCATTATTATCAATGTTGAAATTTTTTTATTTGTTTACTTATTTATTTGCATTTTGTGGAAACAAATTCTTTTTTATTTCAGGAACAACATTTATTTATTTTTTTAACATCAAGATCATTTATTTGAAATGGAAGTATTGTGTAACTATATATATATATATATATATATATATATATATATATATATATATATATATATATATATATATATATATATATATTCATTCATTCATTCTCTTTTTGGCTTAGTCCCTTTATTAATCTGGGCTATAGGTGAATTGGTTAAACTAAATTGTCCGTAGTGTATGTGTGTGAATGAGTGTATGGGTGTTTCCCAGTGATGGGTTGCGGCTGGAAGGACATCCGCAGCGTAAAGCATATGCTAGAAAAGTTGCCAGTTCATTCCACTGTGGCGACCCCTGATTAATAAAGGGACTAAGCTGAAAAAAAAATGAATGAATGCATATTCTAAAACAAGGACAATGTTTTTGACCTTAAATGCTTTTGTACCTATTGTTGGAGACTCTAGCAGTAACTCTAAAATACTATGTGACCTACTATTTAAATAATACAATGTATAATCAGGACATCAAGTTAGAACTACAAATAACATTGACATTATACTTCGTTATACTCTTGTCTTATTTTTCAGATAACAACGTGGTAAAAGCTGTGCTTAAAAAAGTCCTCATGAACACGAAAAACCTCGACTCACAGGTCTGAAAATGTGTTTAGAAGTGTCCAGCACTGTATGTAGTGAATATAATTCAATGTAACTGTGTTGTGTTTCAGTATCTTTGGCTTAAGCCTCCATCTCCTAAAGACAGTGCTGATCAGTCACGGCAGTTTCGGAGGAAGAACGCAGGAAAAGCTACGTATCGAATTGGTATTTGCATAATTTTGGCTGTTTGTTTTTGCTGTGAGATGTTTGGGTTGTTTTGCTGGAGTGTTTTCTTGTTGTTCTCCTCAGGATCTCGCAGATCGTCTTCTGTAATTTCAGTATTTAGGCCTCCTCGGCCCGGGTCAACGGGATACATCCCATGGCGCACTGCTGCACGTGCCGACTTACAAAGGTGAACATGGAGATTTTAGTGATATCAGTAATAAGATTTCAGACTGGTTGTATAGAACTGCAGATTTACTTTACAGAGTACATGAAGAATAAACTCTACCCATATGATTTTACATCGAGTGATTCAGATTGTGTTTTTGTTCATCTACACAGAGGTGCATCGCGGGCTGATGGAAGAACAGACCAGAGTTTTCAAGTAAGAGCTGTTTTATTTAGAACAGTGGCGATCAAAAAAATGCATCACTATTCTCTCTTTAATAGATTCTAAGTTTAGTTTTTAACAGCAGATAATGCTGCAGCTAGGACGCCACCTGCTGTTAAAAACTAGCCTAAAGTATCGTCTGCTGTTAAAAACTAGCCTAGAGCACCATCTGCTGTTATAAAGTAGCCTAGAGCACCATCTGTTGTTTAAAACCAGCCTAGGACTCCACCTGCTGTTAAAAACTAGCCTAGAGCCCCGTCTGCTGTTATAAAGTAGCCTAGAGCGCCATCTGTTGTTTAAAACCAGCCTAGGACTCCACCTGCTGTTAAAAACTAGCCTAGAGCCCCGTCTGCTGTTATAAAGTAGCCTAGAGCGCCATCTGTTGTTTAAAACCAGCCTAGGACTCCACCTGCTGTTAAAAACTAGCCTAGAGCACCGTCTGCTGTTATAAAGTAGCCTAGAGCGCCATCTGTTGTTTAAAACTAGCCTAGGACTCCACCTGCTGTTAAAAACTAGCCTAAAGTGCCGTCTGCTTTTATAAACTAACCTAGAGTGCCGTCTGTTGTTATAAACTAGCCTAGAGCGCCATCTGCTTTTAAAACGCGCTAACGGGCGGGGGGAATACAAAACCAAAAACCACCCAGCCATACAGAGTCCAGTCACACATACACACACATAGACAGCAACAAACAAGCTAAATACAGCATCACGCTCTCTCATTCACACACATACATACGCGTGCTCACTTGCTCGGGAGTCAGGAGCGATATTGTTAGACCGCCCGCTCCCGTCCAGTTACACCAGTTACCGAGCGCTCCCGTGCTTTATTCCAAAATTTATTCCTGCGCAGCAAGAAATCTGGTCGGGTCCCGTGGCTTCGAAATACAAACCTCCATTACCATCTGATGTTAAAAACTAGACTAAAGCTCCATCTGCTATTAAAAACTAGCCTAGAGCTCTGTCTGCTATTAAAAACGAGCCTAGAGCACCATCTGCTTTTAAAATCTAGCCTTGAGCTCCATCTGCTATTAAAAACTAGCCTAGAGCACCATCTGCTGTTAAAATCTAGCCTAGAGCTCTGTCTGCTATTAAAAACTAGCCTAGAGCACCATCTGCTGTTAAAAACTAGCCTAGAGCCCCGTCTGCTGTTATAAAGTAGCCTAGAGCGCCATCTGTTGTTATAAAGTAGCCTAGAGCGCCATCTGTTGTTTAAAACCAGCCTAGGACTCCACCTGCTGTTAAAAACTAGCCTAGAGCCCCGTCTGCTGTTATAAAGTAGCCTAGAGCGCCATCTGTTGTTTAAAACTAGCCTAGGACTCCACCTGCTGTTAAAAACTAGCCTAAAGTGCCGTCTGCTTTTATAAACTATCCTAGAGTGCCGTCTGTTGTTATAAACTAGCCTAGAGCGCCATCTGCTTTTAAAACGCGCTAACGGGCGGGGGGAATACAAAACCAAAAACCACCCAGCCATACAGAGTCCAGACAGCCTATAACAAGCTGCATGTATTAACACACACACACATAAGCACCAAGCAAGTGACACACACACACACACACAGCATCACGCTCTCTCTCATTCACACATACACACACATAGACAGCAACAAACAAGCTAAATACAGCATCACGCTCTCTCATTCACACACATACATACGCGTGCTCGCTCGCTCGGGAGTCAGGAGCGATATTGTTAGACCGCCCGCTCCCGTCCAGTTACACCAGTTACCGAGCGCTCCTGTGCTTTATTCCAAAATTTATTCCTGCGCAGCAAGAAATCTGGTCGGGTCCCGTGGCTTCGAAATACAAACCTCCATTACCATCTGATGTTAAAAACTAGACAAGAGCTCCATCTGCTATTAAAAACTAGCCTAGAGCTCCATCTGCTGTTAAAATCTAGCCTAGAGCTCTGTCTGCTATTAAAAACGAGCCTAGAGCACCATCTGCTTTTAAAATCTAGCCTAGAGCTCCATCTGCTATTAAAAACTAGTCTAGAGCACCATCTGCTGTTAAAATCTAGCCTAGAGCTCTGTCTGCTATTAAAAACTAGCCTAGAGCACCATCTGCTGTTAAAAACTAGCCTAGAGCCCCGTCTGCTGTTATAAAGTAGCCTAGAGCGCCATCTGTTGTTATAAAGTAGCCTAGAGCGCCATCTGTTGTTTAAAACCAGCCTAGGACTCCACCTGCTGTTAAAAACTAGCCTAGAGCCCCGTCTGCTGTTATAAAGTAGCCTAGAGCGCCATCTGTTGTTTAAAACCAGCCTAGGACTCCACCTGCTGTTAAAAACTAGCCTAGAGCCCCGTCTGCTGTTATAAAGTAGCCTAGAGCACCATCTGTTGTTTAAAACTAGCCTAGGACTCCACCTGCTGTTAAAAACTAGCCTAAAGTGCCGTCTGCTTTTATAAACTATCCTAGAGTGCCGTCTGTTGTTATAAACTAGCCTAGAGCGCCATCTGCTTTTAAAACGCGCTAACGGGCGGGGGGAATACAAAACCAAAAACCACCCAGCCATACAGAGTCCAGACAGCCTATAACAAGCTGCATGTATTAACACACACACACGTAAGCACCAAGCAAGTGACACACACACACACAGCATCACGCTCTCTCTCATTCACACATACACACACATAGACAGCAACAAACAAGCTAAACACAGCATCACGCTCTCTCATTCACACACATACATACGCGTGCTCGCTCGCTCTGGAGTCAGGAGCGATATTGTTAGACCGCCCGCTCCCGTCCAGTTACACCAGTTACCGACCGCTCCCGTGCTTTATTCCAAAATTTATTCCTGCGCAGCAAGAAATCTGGTCGGGTCCCGTGGCTTCGAAATGCAGACCTCCATTACCATCTGATGTTAAAAACTAGACTAGAGCACCATCTGCTATTAAAAACTAGCCTAGAGCTCCATCTGCTATTAAAAACTAGCCTAGAGCACCATCTGCTGTTAAAATCTAGCCTAGAGCTCCATCTGCTATTAAAAACTAGCCTAGAGCACCATCTGCTATTAAAAACTAGCCTAGAGCTCCATCTGCTATTAAAAACTAGCCTAGAGCACCATCTGCTGTTAAAAACTAGCCTAGAGCTCCATCTGCTGTTAAAAACTAGCCTAGAGCACCATCTGCTTTTAAAATCTAGCCTAGAGCTCCATCTGCTATTAAAAACTAGCATAGAGCGCCGTCTGCTGTTAAAAACTAGCCGAGAGCTCCATCTGCTGTTAAAATCTAGCCTAGAGCTCCATCTGCTGTTAAAAAGTAGACCAGAGCGCTATCTGCTGTTAAAAACTAGACCAGAGCGCCATCTGCTGTTAAAAAGTAGACTAGAGCGCCATTTGCTACTAAATACATTTATTCATTAATTTTCTTTTCGGCTTAGTCCCTTTATTAATCCGGGGTCGCCACAGCGGAATGAACCACCAACTTATCCAGCAAGTTTTTACGCAGCGGATGCCCTTCCAGCTGCAACCCATCTCTGGGAAACATCCACACACACATTCACACACACACTCATACACTACGGACAATTTAGCCTACCCAATTCACCTGTACCGCATGTCTTTGAACTGTGGGGGAAACCGGAGCACCCGGAGGAAACCCATGCGAAGGCAGGGAGAACATGCAAACT